GATCCTGCCTCATCCTTTCTGTGTGTCTCCTTTTCAGCTGCAGAGGAAGAGACCCCAACCTCTACTGAGGTGGAGGAGACCCCCAGCCCCACAGAGCCCAGCACGGAGGCCCCAGAGTCCCCCGAGGAGCCCCTGCTGGGGGAGCTGACAGTGACAGGATCGTCTCCAGACTCGCTGAGCCTCTCGTGGACCGTCCCCCAGGGCCACTTCGACTCCTTCACTGTCCAGTATAAGGACAGGGACGGGCGGCCCCAGGTGGTGCGTGTCGGGGGTGAGGAGAGTGAGGTCACCGTCGGGGGCCTGGAACCGGGGCGCAAGTACAAGATGCACCTGTATGGCCTGCACGGGGGGCAGCGCTGGGGCCCCGTGTCCACTGTGGGCCTGACCGGTGAGTGATGGGGCAGGGATCAGAGGTTTTCAGGGAGAGCTACCTTTTGTCATCAGTAACCTGGATGAGCCTTCTGCTCTTTTGCTAGTCCTTGAGGATCCAGACCTTGGCCCCCATTCATGCCTTTCCTCTATGGTCTGTGGCCTGTGGTTAGTAGTGTGGCATTTGCTGACATGAAGCTTCATCGTACACACCAGCATGACCTCCTTCTGATGGTCAGCCCCTGGGCTGCTAAGAAGTGTGTTAGGCACAGGCCAAGCACGCGTACACACATGCGTGTACAGGTGCATTTGCACATGCACACACGCAAGCATGCACACACACACAAGAAAGAAAGAAACACGACAACATCCAATCACATTGGGACGATTAAGTAATTAGGCATCATCTAGAAGATGAGCTTTTATGCCATCACTGAAATGTTTCGACATAAGACAGTTACTTGATAATATTACATTGAAAAAGGAGCCCCCAGGTTTTGTAAGGATGCTAATCACAGCCACTGGAAAATAACATGGCATGGCAAGAAAACTGGAAAGAAACACGTCTCACAAGATGCATGTTTTGTGGGGCAGGATAGAATGTTCCAGCCCTTTTCTTGCTTTATTCTATTCTGTGTTGCCCAAATTTTGTTAAATAATGAGTACTTCTTTTATAGTCAGGGAATATTTCCTTTAAACATAATATCTTCTCCTTCTTTGTGCTCTTTTCGTCTCTTCCCCATCACTCTCACACTTCTTTCATTCCTAATTTTGAAAAAGTTATTTCTAATGTAAGAAATTAGGGGGGCAAATCACAAGGTGAATTAAATTCTAAAAGGGCAGTCAGGGTGGCTTTTCTAAATCAGTGTGAGCCCAATGCTGATGCCTGGTGAGAGCCCTTCACATAGATCATCTGCCTGCTCCAAAGGCCGTCGTGTGAAGGCCTCTCCGTGGGCGTGGGGCTCACCACCTTTATGACACCCAGTGAGCGGCTCTGGGAGGTTCACTATCCTCTCCTGAACATACTCCAGACAAAGGAGCGATTTCACACAGCCTCTCTGACTCCTGGGGGATGGGCCTCTTTCTCTATGTGCCTTCTTAGGAGTGTAGCAGGATGGGGAAAACGGGAATGATCAGAAAGTGGACATGATAACAGCTCCCGCCCTGAAGGAATGTGTTACTTTTGATCCACTGGTCAATTTTGTTGCCCTCTGTCACAGCAAATCACAAGCATACACAAAGTAAGGAGGACAGTGTAAGGGACCCACGGCCTACCCCCCACACCCACTATCCAATGATGAATTTTTATAGTCCAGGGTTTCTTTCTAAGTCTACATTATTCTGGTGAAATAATATCAACATTATAGAATATGTTGGTATGGAATAGGGAAAAATAGGGGAAAAAGTCTCTCATGAGAACACCTTTTGACCCAATAATTGCCATTAATAACAATATCAATAACACGTCCTCTCTCTGCATTTCCCATACAGCACATGTTTTCACATTACAGAGTGGTCATATGATTCTTGGCTCATCCTTTGTTTTTGTACATCGGTTATATTCTGAGCATTTATTTTGCGGCTGCACAACCTGAATTAATCATCATTTTAATGGTTATTTGATGCTTCATGGTAAAAGCGCCACAACAAAGCTAATCATCTTCTGTGGGCCATTTGGGTCCCTGACACATCTTGTTGTTATGAGTAATCCCGTAATGGACCCCCATGACACAACTTTTTCCTGCTTTTTCATAATTTTCTTAGGATCGCTGCCCAGAAATGGGATTATTGGGTCAAAGTAAATGAGAATTATTTTGGCTCCTGGCACATGTCTGAATGACCTTCTGAATGTTTATGTTGCCTGCCAGTCCATGCGTGACGGGAATTGGGAGCCCTTCTCAGCACTCTCCATCAACGAGTTACTAGCTGGCTAATCCAAAGGCTCTCCAGCCTCTACTCCACGGCTGGAGGAGTTACCACTGGATGCATTTTGTTGTCCTAATTGGCATCAGCAGCAGAGAAGCTGACAACTAAGCCCCCATTCCCCTGTCTTCTCTCAGCCCCCCAGGAGGTTGTGGAGGAGACCCCCAGCCCCACAGAGCCCAGCACGGAGGCCCCAGAGTCCCCCGAGGAGCCCCTGCTGGGGGAGCTGACGGTGACAGGATCTTCCCCAGACTCGCTGAGCCTCTCGTGGACCATCCCCCAGGGCCACTTCGACTCCTTCACTGTCCAGTACAAGGACAGGGACGGGCGGCCCCAGGTGGTGCGTGTCGGGGGTGAGGAGAGTGAGGTCACCGTCGGGGGCCTGGAGCCGGGGCGCAAGTACAAGATGCACCTGTATGGCCTGCACAGGGGGCAGCGCTGGGGCCCCGTGTCCACTGTGGGCGTGACTGGTGAGTGAGGGTGAGAGCTGGGCTGGTGGGGAAGAAGGCCCTACAACACTTTCCCATTATTACCACCTGCATGAAAACAAATACTCGACACAACACATCTTCTGCTGCACATCAGATGGCCCGAGGATCTTGGTAAAGGGCACGCTCAGATGGCGCAGGTTTGGGCTGGGGCCAGAGATTCTCATTCTAATGTGATGAGGATGCTGCTGGTCGCAGGACCACACTTTGAGTAGCAGAACTCCTCACTCACAACAAAGCAATTGGATGCTTTCCTAGAATTTTTTGACAGAATTGTACTTGCATCCCTGATTTCTCCCAGAGGCTCAGCCTCTCTGTAGTTCACTGGAGGCTGAGGGGGAGGGGGAGACAGAGGGTGTTCAGGACGCAGCATGCTGATGGAAGCACCTCCGGGCCCCATGGTTGGGGTATTACCAGACTTAGGATTCCCAAGGGCCAACAAGACTGGGTGCCCTGAGCCAAGCACTGTGGGAGTTCCCTGGGGTAAGCCTGATCATGGCAGAGAGACAAGTTCTTATGGTGATGGGGCTCCCAAGCACAGGGAGACAGGCTGTGAACCAGCAGTCAGGTAACAGGGGATATTTGTATGACAGGAAGCCCCAGGGCCAGGCCAGACTGGAGAGGATGCCTAAGCCAGCCTGCCCGCAGGTGTCCACGGGACAGCTGAGAACCGAAGTTGGGCAGAAGTTAGCTTGTTGACAGTGTTGGAGTCAGATCCACATCATAGCTGGTGCCAAGGACTGGAAACTAGTGGCCCATGAGAGGGACCAAGAGGATTTTGTGTGAGATCTTCTGAGTTGGAAAGAGAGTCTTGAGATGGGGGTGGGCGGTAGGAGCAGCTCAGAAGCCAGGGATTTCTCCCGGGGATAGAGAGGGTTGTTGCATAGTTAAGCTAAGGCTGACACCATCAAATGTGCACTGAAAGGCTCATCCTGGCCCCCTGTGAGGAACGGGTGGGACTGGGAGGCAGGGAGCCCAGCAGGGACGTGGAGATTCAGGTGAGAGGCAACGGTGTTGGGGGAGTGCAGGTGAGGCAAGCCAGGCTGGTGGGGCTGCAGGTGTGGTGAGTGAGGAGACCCAGGAGGAACTTGAGAGTGAGTTGCACACTGTTGAGTCTGATGGCAGCTGGGGACAGGAACAGATCCAGGAAGATTCCAGGCTTCCAGTTGGGGAAGGGGGTTCTGAGCTGTTTGGGAGCACTCAACATGAGCCAAATGGAGTGAGGTGCCAAGGAGACCCCAGTGGAGGGAGGCCCAGGGCACAGTGTGCAGGGGAGGTGGGTGCAGGAAAAACTGGGAGAGGTGGCGGGGTGTGGGTAGGGGTGGGTGAGGGCAGGGCGAGATGAGGGTAAGGGGCCAACATTGAGGGACTGGGAAGAGTAGATGAGTTAGAGCCACTGTGGCCAGCGATGCTGTGTTCCTCATTATCTTATGTTTGTAATACACCTGCTTATACTCTGACCTGCCTACCTGTCCTCACCTGTCCCTGTGTGTCTCTGTGCAGCTCCAGAATATGAAGCCATGACCACCCAAGCCCCGTCCACCATGGCCCTTGAGCCTACCATGAAGCCACGGCTGGGGCAGCTGGCAGTGACAGACGCCACCCCCGACTCCCTGCACCTCTCCTGGACTGTCCCCGAGGGCCAGTTTGACCACTTCCTGGTCCAGTACAAGAACGGGGATGGGCAGCCCAAGGCGGTGAGGGTGCCAGGGAATGAGGACCAGGTCACCATCTCAGGCCTGGAGCCAGACCACAAGTACAAGATGAACCTGTATGGCTTCCACGGTGGCCAGCGCATGGGCCCTGTCTCTGCCTTTGGGGTGACGGGTGAGTGGACGGTGGAAGCCCCAGGGTGGGGTCAGCCGGGGGGGGGTCACCTCAGGTGATGGGTGAGTGGGTGCAGGAGGTCCCTTAGCTGGAGGCTGAGCCATGGTGCCCTTTGTGCCTCCCCTTGGGGACCAAGGGGTCCTCCTGGGCAGAGAAGGGCCTCCATGAGCTGTGCTGGTGGCTCTCTAGGGTTCCCCACAGCTGATCCTGGAGACTCTCCTGCATGTTTTTGAGATTTCAGCTGAGCAAGCCCAGCCAGCCCCAAGCATGGGCTTCTCTGAACTGAATTTGGGGCCCCCAGACATGGTCACAGCTCTCCATTCTCCTTGGATCCAAGGACATCTCTTGGGGATCCTGCCTCATCCTTTCTGTGTGTCTCCTTTTCAGCTGCAGAGGAAGAGACCCCAACCTCTACTGAGGTGGAGGAGACCCCCAGCCCCACAGAGCCCAGCACGGAGGCCCCAGAGTCCCCCGAGGAGCCCCTGCTGGGGGAGCTGACAGTGACAGGATCGTCTCCAGACTCGCTGAGCCTCTCGTGGACCGTCCCCCAGGGCCACTTCGACTCCTTCACTGTCCAGTACAAGGACAGGGACGGGCGGCCCCAGGTGGTGCGTGTCGGGGGTGAGGAGAGTGAGGTCACCGTCGGGGGCCTGGAGCCGGGGCGCAAGTACAAGATGCACCTGTATGGCCTGCACAGGGGGCAGCGCTGGGGCCCCGTGTCCACCGTGGGTGTGACTGGTGAGTGAGAGCTGGGGCCTTTCTTTGCTCTTTTGATTTCTCCCTTTAGAGATCAGCACTCCTCACAAATGGTCCTTTAGGCCCCTCTCTTTCCTCATATGGTGCTGGTGATCTTGCGTCATGCTTTCATTGAATGAGGATGATAGAGACTGTGTTTAGGGTCAGTAGGCATGTACCCTGTGCTTTTAAGTTTTACCTCATAAGTTCCCTGATATGGAACCTCAGACTTGCTTAGTTTTTCCTATATGGCTTCCTCAAGCTCCCTGGCTGGGTGTTTTAGTGACTCAGAATGTGGCTGCACAACCAGGGTCTCTGGGTTTGAATCCTGCTCTGAACGTATTAATTGTGTGAATTCACAAACATTTCTTAACTTCTCTGTGCTGCAGAGCCACACAAAATTGGCAGGATAATGATATTGGCACCCACGTTGTTGTGTGAGGCTACTCTGTGAGCTGCTAATAGCAATGCCTGGGACACATTAAGCACTCTAGAAGTACCCGGTACAAAACATTCATTTCATAGCCTGAGCAAGGCAGTCCCTCTCTCTCTTTTGAAGGGTCCTGCCAGTGACCCCTCGGCCTCCTCTGCTCTGTTCCAGCCTCCCAGCCCACAGAGCCCCCTGTGGCACCCCGCCTAGGGGAGCTGGCCGTGGTAGCCGTGACCTCTGACACAGTGCACCTGTCATGGACCGTGGCCCAGGGCGTCTTCGACTCCTTCCTGGTCCAGTACAAGGATGTGCAGGGGCGGCCCCAGGCAGTGCCTGTGGGTGGACACCTGCGTGAGATCACCATTCCGGGTCTGGCCCCCGGCCGGAAGTACAAGTTCCTACTCTTTGGACTCCAGGATGAGAAGCGGCATGGCCCTATAGCTGCAGATGCAAAGACCCGTAAGTGAAGGCTGGAGGCCACCTTCAGCACTGGAGCCTTCCCAGTGTCCTTCGCCCCCTTGTGGTGACCGTTAGAGTTCCTTGTTTCCGTGCTCCACGCTCCAGACCTATTTATTTACTGAGTCCAGTGAAATCCAGGTCTAGGGCTCCCCGCTTAGCCTTCATTCTCATCCTTCTCCCTACTTTTCCTACATCCCGAGGGACACTGCTTTCTTCCTCGGCTCATCTTTTATCCCTACTCCTCTGCCGCCCCACTTCCTAACATGTGGCCTAGCCATTCCCTCTAGCTCCCGGAACCAGCTCCCACAGCCCTAGCACCCTGAGGAAGCTCTGTCTGCCTCTGTCACCATTTCTGTCACTCTCCCATACACCTCTCTCTCTTTTCCAGCCCCAGACACAAAACCTCCCCGCCTGGGGGAGCTGACAGTGACAGACCTGACCCCGGACTCTGTGAGCCTCTCATGGACAGTCCCTGAGGGTGAATTTGACTCCTTCGTGGTCCAGTACAAGGACAGAGACGGGCAGCCCCAGGTGGTGCCTGTGGCCTCAGACCAGCGCGAGGTCACCATCTCGGGCCTGGAGCCCAGTAGGAAATACAAGTTCCTGCTCTATGGGCTGGCCGGTAGGAAGCGGCTGGGCCCCATCTCTGCTGATGGCACCACAGGTGAGTCCCAGCCCTGTACCCCACCTTTTCTAGAGTTGCCTCCTATCCAAGCCCCCAGAGCTGCCCCGAACCCCTGCCTATCCATGCAGTTTAATTCTCCTGCCTTCAGCCTTATAACACCAAAAGCAAACATTTACTGAGTCCCTGTCACATGCTAGACACTATTCTGAGTATTTTACATGCATTATTTCCTTCATTCACCGACCGCTGATGTAATAAAGAAAATCCAGTCTTTGGAGCCAAGCAGACCTGTGTTCAAATTCCAACTGCCAGTTTTGTGGCCATTGGCAAGCCACTTCTTTCCCTTGAACCTGAGTTTCTGCACCTGCATAATACTTATGAATAATAATACCTATTGGCACTTAATAAATGATCACATCCTCCTCCCTGTGTCCCAACGGAGGCAAGAAGTGGAAAATGTGGAAGGATTTGGCTGCAAAAAGACTATGGAAAAAATCTGCTGTCATTGTGCCCATTACTCAGCCCCCTGAGGAAGGGTGGAGGTGGGTCACTGACCCTTACTCCACTCCCAGGACCATGAGTCACCCTGGCCAGACAGGGATGGGGCACATGGTCACTTGGGGCCTGGGACAGTCAGACTGCATAATTCTCTTCCCCAAACCCTCACTATGGGGAGTGACTACAGTCTTCTCTTCTGACCCCGTCATCCAATACCCATCCCCACTGGGCAGGTCTCTTCTGTGTTCTGCTCTGCCCTTTGTTCTCCCAGTGTTGCCCCACCCGGCTGCCCTGGTCCAGTGGTGTTAGTGCAGGGCTGGGGAAGTGGGTAGAAGGACGGCCCAGGCTGCTTGCAAGAGAGGGGGATGTCCTGGCCAAGTGCTGGCTGCCCAGCCCAGCCCAGCCCTTAGTATTTAGGGGTGTCTCCCTGACAACCCAGATACCCTCTGGGAGCCTTTTTCAGCTCCAGCCACATCCCTGCTGAAGGGGTTAGGAGCCAGGGGGAAACTGAGGCCCTTCTCTACACCCCCAGGCACCCTACCTCACAAGGTGATCTTTTATGCATTTACAGCACCCTGATCACGCCGAGGAGGGAGTGGGAGCAGGAAGGAGTTTGTTCAGTGGCCTCCAGAGGAGAGATCAAGCTGCTCGCTCTCCTTCCTTTGGGCAGACTGCAGCCACACTGCAGGGACCCTTTCCTAGACCCTCATGCCTCCCCGAAGTTGCCAGGGCTGGGGTAAAGGCAGCTCTTGACCAAGAGTTTCTCCTCCCACTCTCCACAGCTCCCCTGCAGAAGGAGCAGCAGCGCCCGCCCCGCCTGGGGGAGCTGACAGTGACAGATGAGACCCCAGACTCCCTGCGCCTCTCATGGACAGTGGCCCAGGGCCTCTTTGATTCCTTTGTGGTCCAGTACAGGGACACAGCTGGGCAGCCCCGGGCAGTGCCTGTGGCCGAAGACCAGCGGGAAGTCACCATAGAGGGCCTGGAGCCTGGCAGGAAATACAAGTTTCTGCTCTATGGGATCCACGGAGGACAGCGCCTGGGCCCCATCTCCGTCCTGGGAGTGACAGGTGAGCAGGAGGACCTGGGGCGTAAGGAGGCCTGCCGAGGGCTCTGGAGGAACGGAAATGCAGTGGGGCCAGCTCTGATGGTAACCAAGGAGCCCATCAAAAGCTGGAACCAGGGCAGGCGTGAGGAAAGGCCCTGGCAGCGGTCCCCAGCGTCCCGGCCCCCACCCTGCTCAGCGCCGCCAGCTGTGCCCCATCACTCTATTGAGGCAGCTCTTTCCTCCCCGCAGGGTGGCCTTGCCAGATAGGGGCAGACCCCTCCTGTGGGTGAGTCAGGAACACTTTTTGTCAAATGGAAAATAACTGGAACAGAAAGTAGGCAAGGGGCATAGCAACCCGTAGAAGTGGCTGCCATGATGGAGCAGGCTCCTCCTCGGGAGTTACTAACACCCAGCTCAGGTCAGCGGGACGGGGCACTTGGGCCCAACATGGCGGGCATGATTTGCCTTTCTGGCTCACCAGCCAGCTCCTTTCTCAGCTTTTCTCAGGAGGACCACGTGCCCCGAGCTCGGGGAGTGAGCAGCTATTCCCACCGCAGACCATCAGCCTAGGCACCCAGGGAGGGTGGGGAGGGAGCAGGCTGTGCAGACATCTTGAGGCGTAAGAAGACACACAGGTAGAAAAGGGGAAGCAAGCCCCTGATTCAGACACAGAAAGGGAGCCAACAGAGGGTAATGGGACCACAGTGCTGACTCAGAGAGGCCCAGGGGTGGCAGAGAAATGACAGAGTCAAGAGAAGGAAGATGCCAGAAGAGCCTCAGTCACCCCTGCTCAGCATCTCCCCTGGGCTTCTTCCACACAGCCCCAGAAGAGGACACGCCAGCCCCCTGGCGCCCAGCCACAGAGGCCCCCGAACACCCTGAAGGGCCCCAGCTAAGGACACTGGCAGTGAGCGACATAACCCCAGACTCCCTGCACCTCTCGTGGAGTGTGGCTCAGGGCCCCTTTGACTCCTTCGTGGTCCAGTATCAGGACACGGATGGGCAGCCTCAGGCCTTGCTCGTGGATGGCAACCAGAACAAGGTCCTAGTGTCGGGCCTGGAGCCCAGCACCTCCTACAGGTTCTTCCTCTATGGCCTCCATGAAGGGAAGCGCCTGGGGCCCATCTCAGCTGAGGGCACCACAGGTACTGCCGGTTGAGGGCCCTGTATCTAGGCCTCCCCACCTCTAGTCTGGGACTGAAAGGGCTAAAGGGGGTGCCCAGAGGTGGTGACACATAAGCAGGGTACTATAGAGGGAGGAAGGCGTGCACTAGCAGTCCTTGGCTCTACACACGCGTGCTCACTGTGGCTCCCACCTGTCAGTGCCAGCCCCACATTAACTCCATTTCGCAGATGGGAAATGGGAGGCCGTGGTGGGGTGGTAGAAGAGACTGCCCCAGGCCACAGAGGTGGTGTGCTTCTGTCTCTCACCCACTCTGTGCAGGGCCTGCTCCTGCCGGTCAGACCCCAGGGGAGCCAGGGCCCCGCCTGTCCCAGCTGTCGGTGACTGATGTGACCACCAGTTCGCTGCGGCTCAACTGGGAGGCCCCATCTGGGGCCTTTGACTCCTTCCTGCTCCGCTTTGGGGTCCCATCACCAAGCACTCTGGAGCCCCACCTGCGTCCCCTGCTGCAGAGGGAGCTGATGGTACCAGGGACACGGCGCTCAGCGGTGCTACGGGACCTGCGTCCAGGGACCCTATACACCCTTACGTTGTATGGGCTGCGTGGGCCCCACAAGGCCGACAGCATCCAGGGCACGGCCCGCACCCTTAGCCCAGGTAAGGCCCCCGCGTTGGGCACGTTCGCGTGCTGCCCCAAAGTGTGGGGTGGGGGGTCTTTGTACTTTGTAGGGTGGGACCTAGTGCCTCAGCCAGAGGGAAGGTCAGTGAGTGGTGGAAGGCTTGGAGGAATCTACAGAGACTTCCTCTTCTAGATCTAGAGGAAAGGGGTGGTGGTGAGCAAGTCTGGAGCCACTGGGGCCTTGGAAGAAGCGGTGCGGATCCTGGGGCCAGAGGCCCCCTGCCCCGTGCCCTCACTGCCACTCCTTGGCACCCACCCCCCTCAGTTCTGGAAAGCCCCCGTGACCTTCAATTCAGCGAAATCAGGGAAACTTCGGCCCTGGTCAGCTGGACGCCTCCACCATCCAGAGTGGACAGTTTCAAAGTTTCCTACCAGCTGGCAGACGGAGGTGACACCCTTTTGCCATGTCCTCACCTGCCCTCATTTCTCCTGCTCCCTGCACTCTAACAACCCTGCAGCCCTTCCTTGATTCCCTGGGCAAACTCCCAAGCCCGACATGTTTGCAGGGGAGCCACAGAGCGTGCAGGTGGATGGCCGAGCCCGGACCCAGAAACTCAAGGGGCTGATCCCAGGCTCTCACTACGAGGTGACGGTGGTCTCCGTCCGTGGCTTTGAGGAGAGCGAGCCACTCACAGGCTTCCTCACCACAGGTAGAATGGACTGAGACCCGGGCAGGAGGTAGGGGGAGAATGAAGGGGGAGGGAAAAGGGGGTGAGGCCAACAGGGCTTGGGAAGGTGAGGGGTGGGGAGAGGAGCAGGGGACAGCTCTGAGCCCCCTCCCTTCTCCCAGTTCCTGACGGCCCCACCCAGCTTCGTGCGCTGAACTTGACGGAGGGATCCGCTCTGCTGCACTGGCAGCCCCCCCAGACCCCTGTGGACACATATGACGTCCGTGTTACAGCCCCAGGGGGTGAGCGAGGCTGAGGCCTCTGGAGAAGACTCGCTGAGGGTGGGGAGAGGGGCTCTGGCAGGGCACGAAGGGGACAGATGCTGATGCTCACCCCCACTCCCAGCCCCCCCACTGCAGGGCTCAACCCCTGGCAGTGCTGTGGACTACCCTCTGGGTGGCCTTGTGCTCCACACCAACTACACGGCGACGGTACGGGGTCTTCGGGGCCCCAACTTCACCTCCCCGGCCAGCATCACCTTCACCACAGGTACGGCCTGTGAGGTGTGCGTGACAGGGGGAGGGAAGGTCCAGGGGAGCTAGGATGGGCCTCGTCTCCATCTTCTGTTCCCACCTTCCCCACCCAGGGTTGGAGGCCCCCCAAGACTTGGAGGCCAAGGAAGTGACCCCCCGCACGGCCCTGCTCACTTGGACTGAGCCCCAAGTCCCGCCGACTAGCTACCTGCTCAGTTTCAACACCCCTGGTGGACAGACCCAGGTGCCCCCACCCCTCCCTCACTGGCCGACTCCCCTCCCGGGCCCCCCTCCAGGAGGTACTGCCCCCTCCTCTGCTTCTCCCAGTGGGGCTCCACCTCCCTCTCCCCTGACCTGCTCCCTGTGTGTCCCACAGGAGATCCTGCTCCCAGGAGGGGTCACCTCTCACCAGCTCCTGGGCCTCTTTCCCTCCACCCCGTACAGCGTGTGGCTCCGAGCTATGTGGGGCGAGAGCCTCACACCGCCTGTGTCCACCTCCTTCACCACCGGTATTTGGGCACTGGGACCTAAGGTCAGGGGCTGAGCAGGCAGCAGGGGTCTAGGGTTTGGGAAGAGGACTCGGCCCCTCATTCTCTTCTTCTCAGGTGGACTCCGGATTCCCTTCCCTCGGGACTGTGGGGAAGAGATGCAGAACGGAGCCAGCACCTCAAGGGCCACCACCATCTTCCTCAATGGCAACCGCGAGCGGCCCCTGAATGTGTTTTGTGACATGGAGACCGACGGGGGCGGCTGGCTGGTGGGTGGCAGACGGGCCCCCGAGGCTCTGCACGGGGTGGGGGCTGCTGAGTCAGGAGCCGTAGGCTGACGGTGCCTCCACCTGCTTCCCTGCTTCCCAGGTGTTCCAGCGCCGCATGGACGGACAGACTGACTTCTGGAGGGACTGGGAGGACTATGCCCATGGCTTTGGGAACATCTCTGGGGAGTTCTGGCTGGGTCAGTGCCTCACAGGGATTGGGGACCGGGGAAGGGGTGGAGGCCCTGTGGGCACCAGAACCCTGATGAGAGCACTCTCCCTTACCCCCAGGCAACGAGGCCCTGCACAGCTTGACAAAAGCCGGCGACTACTCCATGCGCGTGGACCTGCGGGCTGGGGACGAGGCCGTGTTTGCGCAGTACGACTCTTTCCGAGTAGACTCTGCTCCCGAGTACTACCGCCTCCATCTGGAGGGCTACCATGGCACAGCAGGTGAGGGGTGGGCCTGGGGGCCGCGGAAGGTGGGGCAGGGGGAGGGGAGGCCCTCACGGCTCCTTCTACACCTGTGCAGGGGACTCCATGAGCTACCACAGCGGCAGTGTCTTTTCTGCCCGTGATCGAGACCCCAACAACTTGCTCATCTCCTGCGCCGTCTCATACCGCGGCGCCTGGTGGTACAGGAACTGCCACTATGCCAACCTCAACGGGCTCTATGGGAGCACAGTGGACCACCAGGTGAGGGGCCTGGGAGGCAGCCCAGAGCAGGGAGTGGGTTGGGGCCCAACCTGCTGGGGTGTGGCAGGACAAGTTACCGAGCTGCTTGGCGCCTCAGGGCCCTCATCTGTGAAATGGAAGAATGATGCCAATCTCACCAAGTTATCTGAAGGGGGAAATGAGCACGCTTTATTGGGTGTGAAGGGCCAGCCCAGATTAAGCCTCAGTCTTTGCGGTTGAGGATCATTGAAGCGGGTGGGGGAGAGGAAGGGCGATTGACTTCTGGGAACCATCTCCCCGGAGGGGCGGGGGGTGGGGGGGAGGGCGGAGAAGGGGGTGGTGGCAGCCAATGGGATGTCTGCCTTTGACTCCGTCTCAACAACTCCTCGCCCAGGGGGTGAGCTGGTACTACTGGAAAGGCTTCGAGTTCTCTGTACCCTTCACGGAAATGAAGCTGAGACCAAGAAGCTACCGGCCCCCAGCGGCCCGGGAAGGCTGACCACTGCTCACCTCTCCGGCGCCCCAGTATGACTGCCGAGCACTGAGGGGTCGCGCTGAGAGAAGAGCCAGGGGCCACCTTCACTCTCCAGCCACCGGAGGGAGCCTTCTCCGTCAGCGATCTCACAGCACCATGTTTACAGGGGGGGAGGGAAGGGGTTTGTATGGGAGTAATAAAAGGAGAAACTGAGGCATGTGTCCGGCGTGCATCCTGCCCTGTCACTGGTGCTGGCTCGGCCCTGGGGCCACTGCTCCCCGGGGCTGCAGCCGCACCTGGAAAGGCTGCATTGTGAGGTTGATGCCACAGTGGGACCTGGGTCGCAGAGAGGGCAGCGGGCCCGTGGGGGGCAGCAGCGTGAAGGCGTGGAGCAGCCGCGCCAGCACCACAAAGAGCTCAAGGCGTGCCAGCGGCTCACCCAGGCACACTCGCGCTCCGCAGCCAAAGGCCAGCACTCTCGGGCTGGCGCCTGGGACCAGGAAACGATCTGTGGGCAGAAGGACAGACCCAGGGTTCGGTAGCCGCCGGGACTAGCCTCTGCCACCCCCACGCCACGGGCGACCTCCCCGCCACACACCCGGCCGGAACTCATGTGGCTGCTCCCAGACTGTGTCGTCCAAGTGGGCGCCTTGCAGGTTGGGGATGACAACCGTGCCCTCGGGGATGTCGTAGCCTAAGATGCTGACGAGAGGGTGAAGTTAGAGACCCGCCACGATTCCCCCTTTCCATCCCATGCATCCTCAGCTCTCGGAAGTCACCTGCTATGCCGCGTGGTGCGGTGAGGCAGGGCCAGGGGCACAACAGGCCGCAGGCGCAGCACTTCAGCGATGGTGGCGGTGAGCAAGGGCAGCCGTGAAGGGTCTTTGAGCGGGACTCGGGAGCCTGAAGCCCCAGGGCCCAGTTCACAGTCCAGCTCCTCCTGCAGTCGCTGCTGAATCTGGGAAATGGGAGCAAGCCTGGTGTCTGGGGCCAGAACCTTGTGCTAGCTGACCCACAGCCGCCCGGCCTCCCAGGCTCCGGCCGCTCCCTGAAGCAACCCAGCGGAACCTTCCTGCCAGCTAGGAGAAACCGCCCCCTGGGTGAACAGAGTCTGCGTGGGCGCCCCGGGGGCTGAGTTCCTGTGGCCCCGGCCAGGCTGCCCCCAGGGTGCACCTCAGGGTGGTGAAGCAAGAACGCCACAGCCCAGGAGAGGGTGGTCGCTGTGGTCTCAGTGCCACCAATGAAAAGGTCCACCACAGACATATGCACATGTCCTTCAAGGAGCCGTCCATGGCCCTTTTCCGCTCTTGGCTTCCCCATCCCTTGGAGCATGTAGTCGGTCATGTCCCTCCACTGGCCTGCCACCATGCTGTCCTGTGGGGGGGAAGGCAAACCAGCCTGAGTGCCTGGCTTGGGGAGAGGAGTCTCAGGGGGGCAACGGGTCCAGGACTGGTGGGACACCTCGCTCTGGGGCAGTGGTATCCCTGGCTGCGGGCTAGGGGGCAGCCGGGTCCACACAGCGTTCCCACCTTGTGCTGCTTCAGCTGCTTCTCTACAATGCGGTCCCTGTTCTCCAAGGCCTGCTTCAGCCTCCGGAGGCCTGGGTTGGGGAAGAACTGGGGCAGGGAGCAAGAGAGTGGAGCTGCTGGCAAGGAAGCCTGCTCTCCCAGCCCTTCCTCCCAGGACCCAGGGAGTCTGGGCTCCACCTCCTCACCCTGAGAAAGGGAACTATGTCCAAAACTTGGATGGACCAGTGCTCCCAGCTTTTCATCAAATCTTGGACACAGTCATGAAAGGCATGTACTAAGGTGTCCTCCTGCCAAAAAAAAAAAGGGGGGCGGGGGCAATCCTTTCAGTTCAGGACCAGAGAGGACCAGGGAGGGGCTAAGGAAGGGCCCAGGCACATAGGTGAGAGCAAGAGAGCCTTTACCTTGTCTCCAAAGGTGAGGCAACAGATGACACTGCAGGTGAGGAAAGAGAACTCCTTCTGGATGGCCACAGGGGTGCCGGCCTGGGCTCTCATGCGCTGTGGAGAAGGAGCGGGAACTAAACGGGCCACGGAGCTCCAGGGAGAAGCGAAGCTGACCCGGGGTGCCTGTGGGAGTCCAGCCTCACCTCACAGAACTCCTGGGTCAGCTGCTCCACCAGTGGCTCCATGGAGTTGCGGATGCCCAGCAGCAGGGCCGAGCGGGTGAGTTTCTTGTGAGCCTTCCAGAGCAGGGAATAGTCCCCTAGTGAGAGGTCCTGGTAGGGCTGAGATACCAGCTTATCTGCGAGTAGGGGAGGGGTCGAACTGACCAAGGAAGCCACAGGCCTGACCTTTCCTGCCTCCCCCAGACTGGTACTTCCCTCAAGAAATGCCCCGATGCTTACAGGAGGGCATCTGGGGTCTGCCAGCAAAGTCCACCCATCTCCTGATCATGGCCTCCTCAATGGTCCTCTTAGAGTTCAGCACCACCACATCTGGGGGACAGCCAAAGCAATATGTCAGCAGGGAGAGGCCCCTACCTCCCCGCCGTGGTGGGGCCAGGGAGGAAGCAGACTCACCTTGCAGCCCGAGGCGGAGCCTATAGACAGGGCCCAGTTTCTGAGTCAGACCAAGCAGATAGATGGGAAGGTTGGGCTGCAGCAGGTGTAGGAAGCCGGGGGCAAGAGGTGGGAGGTGGAGGCTTCTGTACTTCCACTTGTTCCACAGCAGGCGGGCACCGGCCAGCGCGGTCAGCAGCAGCAGCCCAAGGAGTAGCATGGCCAGAGACCCAGGCACAGGCCCTGGCGCGGCCACTTATAGCTTTTGAGGCCCTTCATCCACCTCGCTGCTCGGGCTCTTCTGGGGCCTCCTTGGTCTCCTTCCCTCGGGTCCCTGCCCACTGTCCCACCCACACAGTCTTGGCAAGACACCAGTCGACCTGGCCTTGGAGAGTCCACATTTTAAAGAGCAAGCTTCTCATCCATCAAGGATGGGAAGAAAGGAAGGGAAATGCAACCCTGACCTTTTCTCCCACAGCTGGAATCAGTTTTCTGGCTGCAGGTCAACCAGGCAGAAACACGTAGTCACTCTCTGGCCTGAGCCCTCTCGTCTGGCCTGAGCCCACCACCACCCCACCCTGGACCACGTTACTGCCACGGACTTTGTCTCGGGGAGACAATGGCCGTCCCTACCTATATGCTGTCCAGGATCGCCTGAGGAACAAAATGAGTTGAAAGTGGTTTGCGTGTTTTTAACTTACAGATGGGGTGGCCACGCGGCCTGCTTTGCCTGGGTCGTCCCAGTGTAATTATTCACTGTGCCGTATCTCAGCCTCAAAAGTTGAAGAAGATGAAGAATTATGTGGTCCCCCAATTTGGAGCTCTTGCTATGTACTTGATATACTCTTTGGTCGCAAGGAAAAGAGACCAACTAGAGCTGGCTTGAGCCAAAAATAAGAATTATTCTCCAAACACAGTGGTATCTCAGAGAACTGAATGAAGAGCAGGAGAGGGGACCTCACTGGCCTTGGAAGGACAGGGACAGGGGAAGGAAAAGCTGAAGAGAGGGGCCAGCTCCTCACTTGTCGCTCCTCCCTCCTCCTTGTCTGCCGCCCACCCTCTGGTCTCTCTCTGTGGTCCAGCTGTGTGTGACCCCAGGTACAGGCAGAATGGGGCTGCCTTCAGGGTCAGAGGCCACAGGTTATAGGTCCAGCCCCAGGGCGAGGGAGGGTTCCTGGTATGACTGAACATGCCCCCCATAGATGCCAAAGTCCCCAGGAAGGAACCAGATAGCCATAGCTGGGATCATGGGTCCAGCCCTCTCCTGGAAGCTGTTGCCATAGGGGGTGGGGACCTGGCAGAGCAATCAGGAACACCTTCTTTGAGTGAGGAGGCAGTTGAGGGGCTCAAAGGAGGGGCTTGGGGGAGAGAGCATATCGAAGGGGTGACAGTGCCGAGACGTCAGGGCTGCCTGGGGGGGTGGGGGGGTGGGAGGTGACCTAAGGCCCAGACCATCCCCCAACTCCCCATCCCTGGCTCTGTAAACTGATCCCAGCACCCAGGATTCATTAGACCTTCTCCCCTCGAGCTTTACTCAGAGCACAGGCTATGTGGCTGGAGACCCTGAGTAGAGACACTGGCTGTGCCACCCGCCAGCTTAAAGAGGTAACTGCAGGAAGTCCTGGTGGAAGAGGCTCAGGCTCAGCCTGGACCCATGCCCAGGACCGGGAGGCAGAAGGCAGGGGTGGGATTCCTAGGGTTGGGCAGGCAGTAATAGCTGCTCCCTTCCTCCTAGTCGACCTCCTGGACCCAGGCTGCATTTTGCCACAACTGCAGCTGAATCCCTGGCTCTCATAAGTGGGTTTATGCCACCCATGCTGACTAGTTTGGGAAGAGAGATCTGATGGGCAACTACAGGGCCATGGAGACAAGAGCCCTAGGAAGCCTCTGAAATCCCAAAGAAGGCCAGAATGTCTCAAAGTTGCATGGAATAGGAGGGGACTCCATTCAAAAGAACAGTGACCTGGAAAGCTGGCATGATTGTGAACAAACCTTCACAAACTGACTTGAGATCTGGTATCTTGAAAGCCTGTAGATGCTTGATCTTGTTACCAATGGCATTGTTGCCAGCCCCATCCCTCCACCAGCCCCCACCTCCAAATCCAAGCTTCAGACATAACGGATTACATGCAGTGCCCCCAGTTGTGCCCAGTCCTGCCCCTGGCCTCTGGGCCTTTTATATTCTCTTCCTTCTGCCTCAAATGCCCCTCGTGCACCCCCAGTCTCTTTGCCTGACTCCTCAGCCTTCGGAACCCAACTTACATGTCACTTCCTCCGGGAAGCCTGTCCCTCTTCACTTCTCCCAGATCGGGTCAGATGCCCCAACTGTGTGCCACTTGGGACCATTCAGCTCCCGGGCATCACACACTTCACAGGGGATGGGGACCTGGCACAAGGAAGGTGTGGCAGGGAGTGAGAGGCCCACAAATTGCTGTTGGACGATTGAATAGCAGGCTGCTGAACAGACTCAGCTTCCATCAAAACTGATCTCGGCAGAT